ACTGTACCACCCTGCTACTGTACACCAGAGGATGTAAACACTGTACCACCCTGTTACTGTACACAGGAGGATGTAAGCACGGTATCACCCTTCTACTATACACAGGAGGATGTAAACACTGTACCACCATTTTACTGTACACTGGAGGATATAAACACTGCACCACCTTTCTACTGTACACTGGAGGATGTAAACACTATACCACCGTTTTACTGTACACCGGAGGATGTAAACATTGTACCACCCTGTTACTGTACACAGGAGGATGTAAACACTGTACCATCCTGTTACTGTACACTGGAGGATGTAAACACTGTACCACCCTTCTACTGTACACTGAAAGATGTAAACACTGTACTACCTTGTTACTGTACACTGGAGGATGTAAACACTGTACCACCCTTCTACTGTACACTGGAGGATGTAAACACTGTACCACCCTTCTACTGTACACTGAAAGATGTAAACACTGTACTACCTTGTTACTGTACACTGGAGGATGTAAACACTGTACCACCCTTCTACTGTACACTGGAGGATGTAAACCCTGTACCACCCTGTTACTGTATACAGGAGGATGTAAACATTATACTCCATCTGTGCATCAGAGGAAGCAAACACTGCACCAGCCCCTACTGTGTCCTGGGGTATGTAAACACTGCACCAGCCCCTACTGTGTTCTGAGGGATGTAAACTCTGCACTAGCCCCCAACTGCATATCAGAGAACGTAAACGCTGCACCAGTCTATACTGTACATCAGAGGATTTAAACAAATGCACTAGCCTCCTACAGTATACCAACGAATGTAAACATTGCACCAGCCCCTACTCTGTCCACCGGGGGATATAAACACTGAACCACCCCCCTACTGTACACCAGAGGATATAATCACAGCACTAGCACTGTCAGGGGTGCCTAGAACAAACACCTTTTATTTCCATTTTTTAAACTTTAAATAACAAACCATACCACTCCTGACAATGTTATAATTTGTCCCAATCTTTCACCAATAGTTTTGATGGACAGCTTGATCTGCACATAAATGTGAAAAAATAAATAGATACCGTATATTAATAAAAAGAGGAACACTGTGACAGTCAATCACATGACTGGGAAGCCTATGTAATGCCACCAGTCTCACAAACTTTTAAAGGGCTGGCTCCTCTCAGGTTGGAAAAGATAAATTACCTCTCGCAAGGACATCTGCTATGAGGAGTTTAATTTTTTTGCAACAGAGCCACTTTAAGGATCACAAGAAAGGACTGGTTGCCTATATCAGTCAAGTATGCACTAGTTCTCACATCAAATATGTCATCTTAATAGTCAGCATTCACTATAAAATACAGGATCAAACTGAAAGTGAGACTAAAGTCTTCCGGCTCTGACCTTTGTAATAAAATAATAAACTAGACAGCCACAAGGGACCTGAGTGCCATAATGTAACACTGCAAGGTACCTGTGTGAGGAGCATGAAATGAAAGCTGCCATTTCCAGACTCCTGGTGAACATATCTAGAGTAGTGCCATCACATGCCAGGAAAACACACAGGTTCCACTTCACTGCCGCAGTTCTCATATAAGTCCTGATATATGTCAAAGGGAGGTACTAGAGCCAGGCCAGGTAGGAGAGAGAGCTGCCAAGAAGCATTAGAGAAGCTTGGGGGTGGGGTTGATGAGTTGGAGTTGAACACCCTGCACTCTGTACACAGCACAACCCTAAACCCTGCATTCTGTACATCTGTGCATAGCACACCCCTGAACTCTCACTCTGCACTTGGCACACCCCTAAACCCTGCACTCTGTAAGTAGTGCACCTCTGAACCCTGCACTCTGTACACCACACACCGCTGAACTCTGCACTCTGTACACAACACACCTCTGAACCCTGCACTCTGTACACAACACACCGCTGAACTCTGCACTCTGTACACAACACACCTCTGAACCCTGCACTCTGTACACAACACACACGCTGAACTCTGCACTCTGTACATGCACACCTCTAAACCCTGCACTCTGTACACAACGCACCTCTGAACTCTTGCACTCTGTACGTACACACACTAAACCCCTGCTGTAATCTCTAGCACACCCCTCTCTCACTCTGCATTGGCACACCCCTCTAAAGTAGTGCACCCTGCACTCTGTACACAGCGCTCTGCACTCTGTACACAACACACCTGAACCCTGCACTCTTCACTGGACTGTACGTAGCACACCTCAAAACCCTGCACTCTGTACAAAGCACACCCTTGAACTCTTCACTCTGTATGTAGCACACCTCAAAACCCTGCACTCTGTACATAGTGCACCCCTGAACTCTTCACTCTGTATGTAGCACACCTCAAAACCCTGCACTCTGTACATAGTGCACCCCTGAACTCTTCACTCTGTATGTAGTACACCTCTAAACCCTGCATTCTGTACACAGCACACCACTGAACACAGCAATTTGTACGTAGTACATAAACCCATTCCTGAACCCTGAACTTTGTACATAGCATGATCCTGAACTCTGCACCTTTTACGTAAAGCACCCCTGAACCCTGCTCTATATATGTAGCGTACCCCAGATACAACTGGCCCTTTGAGGGCAACCATACTGCTGATGCAGCCTGTCATGAAATTGAGTTTGGCACACCTGCTCTAGACCATCCTGAATGATATAATAATACATTAAAAAAATAAAACAAAATCTGAGCAAAATCTAAACAGTGATTCAAAGGTCTGCATAGATGTTTCAAAACAAGACAAGTGATGAATACTATTTACAAACTTTAGAATTTCACTCTACTGATGTTTAGAAACAATGTAACAAAAGTTAAACCCCCTAGGAGTTGCACAATCCCTCCTTACAATTCGATACAGTACACAGTCCTTTACAATTTTGATACAGTACACAATCCTTCCTTACAATCAGATGCATTACATAATCCATCTTTACAATCAGATACAGTACACAATCCTTCCTTTCAACTTGATACAGTACACGATTCTACTTTACAATTTAAACAGAAACAATTGAGTACTGACGTGATACTTTTTTTATTTGCACTAACATACAATTTTGAGGACAAGCTTTCGGGTTATGTCCCCTTCTTGTATGTTAGTGGAAATAAAAAAAAGTATCACGTCAATACTCAATTGTTTCTGTCACAAGTGCACTAATACGGCCACAACCACTTTACAATTTGATATATTACACAATCCATCCCTAAAAATCAGATACAGTGCACAATCCTTCCATACAATTCCATACAGAACACAATCCTTCCTGACAATTAGTACAGTATATAATCCCTACGGTCAATCTGGCACAGTACACAATCCATCTTTACAGTTCAATACAGTACACAACCATTCCTGAAAATGTGATATAGTACACAATCCTTTCTCTCAATCAGATACAGTACACAATGCTTCCTTACACATCGATACAGTACCCAATCCCCTTTTGTCAATCAGATACAGTACCCAATCCCCTCTGTCAATCAGAAACAGTACATGATCCCTCCTTACAATCAGACACAGTACAGAATTCCTCTTGACAATCAGACACAGTACACAACCCCTCCTGTTAGTCCGAGGGCCGGTTCACACTATAGAAATGCAGTCCAGATGGTTCTGGATGTGTTTCTACATGCGCGTTTTTGGCGTGTTCCGGTCAGGGGCGGACTGACAACTCATGGGGCCCCCGGGCAATAGGGGATCATGGGGCCCCTGTGTCCTTGCCCAAACTCAAAAAAGCCTATGAAAAAGGTACCAGGGGCATCTCATGGGGCCCCCTACTGACCCCGGGCCCTCGGGCAGTGCCCGAGTTTCCAAATGGTCAGTCCGCCCCTGGTTCCGGTGTATTTTTGATGTGTTCCAGTTCATTTTTCCCCTCTCTTTTTCTTCAATTTAAATATTAACATGTGCACTCCAGTGTGTTTTTGGTGCATTTTGGTGTGTTCCGATGCATTTTTTATGCATTTTACCATGTTCTAGTACAGTTCTGTGCAGCAAAAATGCAGCCTGTTCTACTTTTTTTCTGCATCCAGAACGCACTGGAACTGCAAGCACTGATGTGAACTATGACATTGACAACCATATAACCTACTTTCTGTGCATTTTGGATGCAGAAAAAAAGCAACTGAAATGCATGTAGTGTGAACTGGCCCTGACACAACACACTATCCTTCCTGTCAATGGCATACTTCATTCACTGTACAACTGCTACTTCATCCAGGATCTTAAGCTTGTCCTCAGAATTACAAACACTTCACAGCAATCATCTGGATCAGAGAGCAAACATCAAGTGTGGCCATACTCATTAAACAGGCTCAAAGTTAATATTTCATAAACCACAATAGACTGAACACAGACATCACCTCCCTCCCAAATTCCTACCAAGTGCTGATTTCCACCTGGATCAGCAACCCACTGCTCCCCAAACCATACTTCCCTTGAAAGGAAACCTTTTCTAATAGAGTCATGGAGGCTGCCATTGCTTCTTCTCATTCTGCAATGCTAGTTTCCTGGCTGTCACATTAAACTTTGATACTTTGTGTCCCTTACATGGAACAAGTATGGAAATATCTAACAGTAGTAAGTGACATTTAACTGGACTTGTTCTGTAAAGCCAAAAATGATTCGCCACTCAACCAAATGAACATCAGATCTGAGCTGAAGAAGCTACTTGGGTAAGCAGTGAAACATCTTCAACTACAGAACAAGTCACATTGAATATGACTACTATTAGCTATACCAAGACATGGATACATGACAACTCCTGATAGACAAGTATGCAAATCAGGGTGTCTGACTTTCCTCTGACTTTACAGCAATTCTTCTCAAACTAGTTAACATGGAGGAACCCTAGAAATAGCTTTCCATTTTCAGGGAACCCCTGCTAATAATTACTATCTACAGTTCACTGTATGTTAGTGTGATGGTCAGTGGTGAAGAATGCTTCTTACATTGGTGGTGAGAGGGAACAAGGCTCTTACACTAGTAGTTAGTGGGAAGAATGCTCCTTTCATTGGTGGTCAGTGGGAAGAATGCTCCTTTCATTGGTGGTCAGTGGGAAGAATACTCCTTACATTGGAGGTCAGTGGTAAGAATACTCCTTATATTGGTGGACAGTGGGAAAAATACTCCTTACATTGGAGGTCAGTGGGAAGAATACTCCTTACATTGGAGGTCAGTGGGAAGAATACTCCTTACATTGGAGGCCAGTGGGAAGAATACTCCTTACATTGGAGGTCAGTGGGAAGAATACTCCTTACAGTGGAGGTCAGTGGGAAGAATACTCCTTACATTGGTGGACAGTGGAAAAAATACTCCTTACATTGGAGGTCAGTGGGAAGAATACTCCTTACATTGGAGGTCAGTGAGAAGAATACTCCTTACATTGGAGGTCAGTGGGAAGAATACTCCTTACAGTGGAGATCAGTGGGAAGAATACTCCTTACATTGGTGGACAGTGGAAAAAATACTCCTTACATTGGAGTCAGAAAGCTCATTACATTGGTGGTCAGTGTGAAGAATACTCCTTACATTGGTGGACAGTGGAAAAAATACTCCTTACATTGGAGTCAGTAAGCTCATTACATTGGTGGTCAGTGGGAAGAATACTCCTTACATTGGTGGAAAGTGGGAAGAATACTCCTTACATTGGAGGTCAGTGGAAAGAATACACCTTACATTGGTGGTCAGTGGGAAGAATACTCCTTACATTGGAGGTCATTGGGAAGAATACTCCTTACATTGGTGGTCAGTGGGAAGAATACTCCTTACATTGGAGGTCAGTGGGAAGAATACTCCTTACATTGGAGGTCAGTGGGAAGAATACTCCTTAGAAATGCAGGTCAGTGAGAAGAATACTCCTTACAATGCAGGTCAGTGGGAAGAATACTCCTAACATTTGTGGTCAGTGGGAAGTATGCTCCTTACACTGGAATTCTGAATGATCCTTACATTGGCGATCAGTGGGAATAATACCCCTTACATTCATGGCCAGTTGGAAGAATGTTTCTTACACTGCTGGTCAGTAGGGGTTACATTGGTGGTCAGTGGGAAGCATACTCCTTACATTGGTGGTCAGTGGGAAGAATATTCCTTACATTGGAGGTCAGAATGCCCCTTCCATTGGTGGTCAGTCAGAAAAATGCTCACTACATTCATGATCATTGGGGAAGATGGCTCTTACATGGTGGTGGTCATTGGGAAGAGTGTTCTTACATTGGTGGTCATTGGGAAGAATGCTCCATACTTTGGTGGTCATTGGAAAGAGTGTTCTTACATTGGATGTCAGTGGGAAGAATGCTTCTTAAATTGGTGCTCAGTGGGGACAATACCCTTCCTATAGATAACTAAAATCATCATTGGTTTCAGTGGGAACCTACCTGGGAGGCAGAAATTGCTTTCTGCCCAAGGAACTCCTAGCAACCTCTGTGTGAACCCTAGGGCTCCACTGAACCCCAATTGAGAAGGCCGCTTTATATAGATATGCATACGTCCACCAGTGACCTGAACCTTTCCTGAATCCAGTTGGCCACTGTACTAATCAGACAACTGGAAGGGGCCAATGGCAGCCTCCATGTGTCTCTCATTAAAGGTTTCCTTTACGCACCCAAGTTTTTTTTATCCTCTTTCCAAAAAAAAGGAATCAATGGCTTTCTATTCAAGGAGTGACACCCTGCAGATGTCATCCTTTCCCAATGGTGACCCCCCCTCCCCCCCTCCAACCCTCTCTTCTATGGACAGCTTGTCCAAGCAGTGACTTTCCAGTATAATATCTCCACATGGGACACCATGCCAATCCTCCCACTACAAAGCAGCTCCCCTAGCTGAGCAGGCTGAATGGATCTAGTAGGAGAAACGTGCCTGGCTGAACCACCCCCTGGAAAACCATCAGACAATGGGGGCTTTTTTTTTTTTTGCAAGGCAGCCTTTTTTTTTTTTTTTTTTTTTTTTTTTTTTTTTTAAATTGCATTGAAGGGACCATCGATAGCAGGTCGGAGATCCTCAGACAGGGTCGGAGGGGGGTGTTCACAGAGAGCATCAATAGGCATACAGGGCTACGGCCAAAGGCAGCGCTACTCACCAGGACCACCGCAAAGCGCTCCTCCAGTTCACCTGGCTCGGGCATGGGCAGCTTCAGCGGCATGTTGTGCGCCTTGAAGTCGGTCTGGTTGGAATCCATGCTGCCTGCATTCCCCATGATGTGCACAATCTGCAATAATCCACCTTTCCTAGGAAATCGGGAAATCAGTCCTCCTCCTTCTCCACCACCGCCAGCGATCTCCCCCCACCGGTGGCCAGCTAGTCCCGGCGGCCGATCGGACGATACAATAGAAGCTCCTTCTAGCACACTGGCAGCTCCGCCACCTTCCTGGCCCGGGGTGCCCTCCAGAAAAAGCCCGGCTGGGATCCTAGCGAGGGGCTCCGGGCCACGGATGGCATCTGCATGTTGCACGCTTCGCACACCCCTCCCCGCGCCGCGCTGCCTGCCGCCGCTGATCAGCCACAGAGGAGCACAAGAGGCTCCGGGCAGCAGCCAGCCTCAGCACAACATGGAAACTCCCTTCATTGTCCAAGGGAAGGGAAAAGCTCCCTCTAGTGATCCAGGCAGAGCTGGCTCCGGTCAGGTGAAGGGAGCTGCTGCTGATGCTGCTGCTGCTGATGCTGGAGGGGGTGAGGACAGGATGATGGACAGCTCAGAGGTGTCACTGATAGCAAAGGGGTGGGGTGCAACCAGGGCTCTGGGATCAGTGCAGATCACTGGCTCAGCAATAATAAAAAAAAAGGGGATATTAAAATCCAACCGGAAAATATAAAATATTGCAGATTATCAATCATTACATGTGGTGGCTGCATTCATTTTTTTTTTTTTAGACCCTTGAGCTGTTTTTCAGCTCGACACTCAACAAGTAAAATCCAATCATTTGCAATGGCCCCTGTTCACACTTGAGATTGTAGAAAAATGCCCGTCGCTTAAAAAAGTACTTGCGCTACTTTTCAGAGCTAAGCGATTTGTCCCCATAGACTTAAATGGAAAACGTCTGAACAGTTGGAATTAGTTTTTTTTTTTAAGCATTTTTTCAAGTGGTTTTTTTTTTTTTTCAGCTCAAACAACAGCTATTTCCCTGGTCTCCTCCCCCCATGCCTGCCTCCAAGATTTATCCAGGGCATCACCCATCCTCTGGAACTCCCTACCCTAATCCATCAGACTATCACCCACTCTACTCTCCTTTAGGCGCGCCCTGAAAACCCACCTCTTCAGGGAAGCCTACCCCACCCCCTGCTAATTGCTGATCTCCTCCACTCTTCCTACCACTCCATCCCCCACAGCTATTCCTCCCGTACCACTATCCCCTCCCTCCTAGATTGTAAGCTCCAAGGAGCAGGGCCCTCGAACCCCTCGTGTATCGCATTGTATTATATTGTACTGTCTCATGTTCTTGTCCCCCTTTGTATTGTACAGCGCTGAGCGAACTGTTGGCGCTTTATAAATACTGTATAATAATAATAATAATTTCTATTGGCCACAGAAAAAATGCCTAAATGTAAAAAAAAATTAAAAAGCCTGAAAAAACACCTATCATATTTGCAAATCTGCTCAAAGACACCTGGAAAAAACAAATGAAAAATGCTCAGCTTTGTGTGAATGGAGCCTGAAGGCAGATCTGAGTGTTTTGTCACCATAGACTTGAATGGAAAACGCCTGAACGGTGGGAATTAGTGATTTTTTTCAAGCATTTTTTGAACCTTTTTTTCAAGTGTTTTTTTTTTCAGCTCAAACAACAGCTATTTCTATTGACCACAGCAAAAACGCCTAAATGTAAAAAAAAGCCTGAACAAACACTTATAATATTTGCAAATCTGCTCAAAGACACCTGAAAAAAATGAATGAAAAACGCTCAGCTTCGTGTGAATGGAGCCTGCAGGCAGATCTGAGCATTTTGTCACCATAGACTTGAATGGAAAACGCCTGAACAGTGGGGATGAGCGTTTTTTTCAAGCATTTATTGAAACTTTTTTTTTCAGGCTTTTTCAGCTCAAATAACAGCTATTTCTATTGACCACAGCAAAAACGCCTAAATGTAAAAAAAAGCCTGAACAAACACTTATAATATTTGCAAATCTGCTCAAAGACACCTGAAAAAAATGAATGAAAAACGCTCAGCTTCGTGTGAATGGAGCCTGCAGGCAGATCTGAGCATTTTGTCACCATAGACTTGAATGGAAAACGCCTGAACAGTGGGGATGAGCGTTTTTTTCAAGCATTTTTTGAAACTTTTTTTTTCAGGCTTTTTCAGCTCAAATAACAGCTATTTCTATTGACCACAGCAAAAACGCCTAAATAAAAAAAAAAGCCTGAAAAAACACCTATAATATTTGCAAATCTTCTTTAAAAAAATGCTCAAAGACGCCTGGAAAAAACACTTGAAAAACGTCTGAAAAACACTCAGTTTAGTGTGAATGGAGCCTGTAGGCAGATCTGAGCTTTTTGTCCCCATAGACTGAATGAAAAATGCCTGAACTGTGGGAGTTAATACTCCTCGAAAGACGTGCATTCGCACGAAAGGCCTAAGGAATTAACACGTTGTGACATTTTGCCGCCGGAGCCATATGCTGGTCCGGTGGCCTTCTGTACTACTGGTCAGTGTACCTTTTTTATTGGATATTTCTGTATTTAATAAATTCATTACTTTTTGGCAATATTACGCTATGGGCATTTTTTTATGACTCCTTTACGGAGCCTTTAACCACTTGACCTCCAGAGGATTTACCCCCCTTAATGACCAGGCCTCTTTTTGCTACTCGGAGCTGCACTAATTCAACTGATAATTGCGCGGTCATGCAATGCTGCACCCAAACAAAATTTACGTCCTTTTTTTCACACAAATAGAGCTTTCTTTCGGTGGTATTTGATCACCTGTGCGCTTTTTATTTTTCACGCTATAAACAAAAAAAAGGCCAAAATTTTGAAGAAAAATGATATTTTTTACTTTCAGCTATAAAAAATATATAGTAAACTCAAAGTTGGTTATAAATTTAGGCCAAAATGTATTCTGCTACATGTTTTTGGTAAAAAAATCCCAATAAGTGTATATTGATTGCTTTGTGTGGAAGTTATAGCGTATACAAACTATGGTATAGATACTGCAATTTGCGCCATTTGTTTGCTATACAGCGCTGCGCTAGTTTAACGGACAATTGCGCGGTCATGCAATACGGTACATAGATTAAATTTACATCCTTTTTTCCCCCACAAATTGAGCTTTCTTTCGGTGGTATTTGATCGCCTGTGCGGTTTTTATTTTTTGCGCTATAAAAAAAAGACTGACAATTTTGAGGAAAAAAAACAATATTTTGGACTTTTTGCTATAAAACATGTCCAGTAAAAAAAAATGTAAAACTCAAATTTAGTCATAAATTTCTGCCAAAATGCATTCTGCGACATGTCTTTGCTAAAAAAAAAAAAACCCAATACGTGTAAATTAATTGGTTTACGTGAAAGTTATATAGCATTTACAAATGGCGGGAAAGATACTGGGATTTTTAGTTTTTTTTATACTAATAATGACAGCGATCAGCGACTTATGGCAGCGATCAGTGACTTATGGCAACGATCATCGACTTATGGCGGGACTGCAGGACTGCGGCAGACATTCTGACATTGGGGGGTACTGACTTGGGGTCACTGACATCTCCAGTGACACCAATACAGTGATCAGTGCAAAAAAAAAAAACCACTGACACTGTACTAATGGCACTGGGGAGGAAGGGGTTAAGTTTATTTTGCAGGGAAGGGTTAACTGTGTGAGGGGAGTGTTT